ACAGCCAATGACTGGTCTCGATTTCTCATGGGTCTCCAGCAATGGTATGCTTGTATGCGCATGGGTTGTACCATGCAAACAATACGTTCGCTCGGAGCAAGGATTTACGCGGCCACCGGCTCGATCGGATTGATTTTCTAATGAAACGATTAATCAGCAAAACAAAACGAGTTATGATTATATAAGGCCCAATAAAAATGTTTGCAACGGGTTGAATTCGAACGGTACAATGAAATTATGACGTATCTTCAGGCCGTGAAAAACGTCGAACGAGATATTCGTATTTTCGGATTTGAAACATTTCGTTTGGCGTTACGAGCGATAGGAAGAGAAGGGACGGAAGATTGCAAATGGTGTATTTAGTTGCGATTCGAACTCGATAAGTGAAAAATCAAAATTGATGTTCAGTCCTACTCGGTATCACGGTGATACCGTCCTCGGAGTAAGCGCATGGGAAACCTTGTGCATGACATCGGTGCGTGAGAATTACGGAACGTGATGCGCATGCGTGACAGCATTTATCCGCCGGGAAAATCGATCCGACCAAGTCGTTTGGTAGGATTTAACCTCTCACCCACGGATTAATATTCAAAAGTGTCACTCGTGGCACCGGTCGCACCCTACGGTTTTTGCCTTTTACGATTGTTTTTGTGCGTACGTATAGGGGAGATTCGATGAAGAGTTATGCGAATGCTACGGCGGTGTTGGTGGTGGTGGTGGTGATTGTGATGGTCGTCCTTAAAGGGATCGGTAGCAGAAATTTTCCATCGCCGTCCATCACACGCGCAACAATATAGCAATGGTTAAGAATTTTTCTGTATCCAACGTACCGATCGATATGGTGTAAAGCGATAAGGATTTTTCAGAGTTTAATCTGACGTTTTTAATTTTCTCTGCATTTAAGAAATTTAAAGATAAACATTTTAAAATTGGAATTATTATTTCTATTGATTTTGGCGATTCGGATCAAATGGAATGAAATTATACATGTTAAAAATCCGCTGTCATTTGTATACTTGACGGCAAACGATTCCGAAATCCTTATCGCATCGCCATCGGACGAATCGTAATAGAAAATGTCCATCTAGATTCATATATGTTGCGCGCGAGACGGACAGGGACAGAAAATTATCGCTTCCAACCCTCATGAACAGTCCAACCCTATCCGGTCTCCCGTACCCGCACGTTTCGCACGTCATAGTATACGAGCTGCACATAATACAACCCTATTTGACGGATATCGCTGTGTTTTGGATCCGGACACTGCACGTCAGTGACGGATGTTAACTTTTTTCTCGGGATTTTTTTTTCTGTTTGATTTGCTTTTATTTTATTTTATTTTATTTTTTTTGTTTTTTGTTTTTCAATTACACGAGGGTTGTCAAAAATATCACTTATCGGAACGGTTGGCGTGACGTAGTCAACGGTGTTGTTAGTCGGGTGGTGATGATGGCGGCGGTGATGCCGGTTGTTCCGTGAACGGGGTTTTTGACCCTAAACGACGTACGATAGAGAATGAAAATAGTTTCCAGCACGCAGCCTCTCGCCATTCAACATTAATCCGTCCGTTTATACATTGTTACTGTTGCAGCAGCGCGACCGGTCACTCGATGTATGTATGTAATAATATATATTTATATTTATATACATAGCTGAGGGTTACACAGCATATTATTATAATAATAATGTATTACTCGACGTTTTGAATTTTTCTTCTTTTCCCAAGGCCTCTGGTTTTGACATTTTATACCGATTCGTTAATATCACTCACGGACGTGGATACAACACACGAACACGCGTAATATCGTTACGTGAGTTATTACGAATTGTACGGGTACGAGTATCCATTATGCTACACGCGTTTTGTCGTCGGCACAATTATTCGTTCGACAATATCCGGTCCGTAGACCGTTTTCCATTCCAGTACGATATTTTTATTAGCATTTAAACGCAACAGTGTAATACGATAAGAACACAACGAATAACCGTCGGTCGAACGACACACTTGCACTAAATCCTCGGTGTAACCTTTTAATTTTTACTCCTCGATCGCCGGACGAACCGGGTGTGGTTAGCCGTTCGCCGATTCGGCACCGAATATCATTAGTAAACACGCGGGGTCCGTAAAAGCTTATGAAGTTTGTGACGCTAAATGTGATTTATCGATCGGTAAATTAGTTTCATTAGAATATGTTTTTATAACAAAACGGTGCCGATGATTCATTACTTCGGTGCATTGTATACGTATAGAACGACAGCTCGTCGAACCCTCCGGACCCTAGACACTTGCTTTATGTGCATAACGTGTATTCCATACGATCTTGCCGGGGCAGGGGGGTTTCGACTTTGAAATCGTGATACTGCTCGTTTTCGAAAAGCGCTGAACACCATATTGTTCATGCGAATACGCAACACGACGTATGAGTACCGATGTTTCATCCGTTCCGAAAGCCAAACGGATGCCGGTGTGATCAGCTAAAATAACTGTAGGCACGACTTATATGCGTTACAACTTAACGTTATCCGTCAGCGTTTAAATGTTAACTTATCGAGACAGATTAAACAGTGTAGTATTACGCAATATGTTGCGGGAACTATTCCATCAACTCATCCGCGCTGTGCACTCGGTAAACCTGGGGCTCGCGTGGGTCTCGTCAGCGCAGGAATGTTCGCGACTTGTTGTTTGTACGCGCTTCAGACTTAAAATCGTACGTACAACTTTGTATTTGTACGCGACGTAATGTGCACAGCCGCTGTTCGAGCATTCGTCTCCGCCGTCCGTCCGATCGCTCGGCGTGATAATATAATCATTAGTGTTCATTAGTGTCTTACCAGCGCTTAGTTTAAATATTGTGTTACGTATTTTGCGTTCCGAATACGGGTCGTTGGAGCGCGCGCGCGTGCAGAGAAGGATAAAATATGTGCCGTTAATTTTTTACGACCATCAGCTGGTCCCGGTCGTCGCCCGAGTAGGACTTCACGTTTTACTGTACAATTTACGAACGAAAAATTAAAATATATATATAATAGAAATAAACAAGGCAGCAGGTCAGCGTGTAATATTATTATGTAGAAGCCGTTGGAAACGGGGCGCAGCAGCTCACCGGTGTACGCGCACGAGTGTAACACGCAGAAAGTGCAGTTGAACAATATTACCAGGGTTGTACCAATTGGCACGAACGTGCAGTCGCAGCCGCAAATAAGGGTATGGCCTAAGGGTCCAAGCTTTAACGGCCCCTACACACGTTTACGATTTATTTGTCGACGGAACGGAATCGAAGAAAATGTGCGTAGCAAGTTTCACCGCGATCGGGTGTAGGACGTACACGTACACGAGCGGTGCGCGGACATATTTCTCTCGATCGCACCGTCGAGTATCGAAAGGCTTCGGTCCTGCCGAATCTCAAACGGTATACGCGCCGGTTTAGGGCAATGCTGCTGCAAGGAACGCAACGAATACGGCGCGTTGTATAATCGTTGTGACGTGTCGTCGAAAACGGTACGTGATACCAGGTGCGCTCGAGAAACGGAACTGCGATATACACGATTTAGTAGGTACTCGAAGAATAAAATTCGAATTTTTCGTCCAAACGGTACGCGAAAAACAATTTAAAAACACGCACCTCCACATGTATACCGTTACGTTCAACTGTTTCGCCGTCGTACGTTATTGGAACAACTTTTTTTTTAACTATTACGTTTTTCCCCGGCACAGTATACATGCGGTGGTAACTATAAATTATGTTTTTAAATTTGTGCGCCGCCGTCGAAACCGTGTGTAAGCTCAGGTGTGACGTCTCTCGTACGTAAAGTGCACACGGATCTCCGCGTCGCTGCAACCGTTGTGATATAACGCTGTATCTCACGGCCGACTATTGTCGTGTCAAGCGTTTGTTCACGTTCTCGGACGGAGAGAGAGATAAAAAAAAATGTGTTGTCGAAAAACCAGATACGACCACCACCACCACCACCACCATCAGCGCGTGATTAAGCGATTAGAGCGTGAGAAAAACGAATTTTCGACCAGACGCGTCGCGGCGCTAAAGGGTAGTAATTTTACCGCCCGGAGCACACACGCCGCAGTCCACGTCGCGCGCGCGCACGATTGCACTTGTAATCGTACGGTACGGTAATGCAGTGCATTATTCATCGCGCCGGTACGTTGGCCGGGAAAATGTGTGTGACGTAAACACAACTGGAACGCATAATGGACGATAATCGAACCGTAACCCGAGTAACGGGTGGGCACGTTGTGACGGATATCACAATACACGTGTGCGCGTGTGTTTCTCCATTGTCGAAAACCATATGCGCCACCGTCTTCGCTTCTGGTAAAAAGTCAAAGGATACACCCCTGATCGTTTTTCTTTTTTTTTTTTTTTTTTTTTAAACGCACCGTTCCAAAACCGTAAAAACCAGTGGCGTATACAGACAATATTTTCGGGAGGGACTACTACGGACAGAGCTAAATTACCACTGCTATCTGAGAATTACCAACAGACACAGTAGGTACTTAACTACATTTCATTTACAAAATGTCCTAAAACGATTGGACGTTGGACGCAAATTCTAAATAAACATAAAGCATCATTAAAATATAACAAATGTTTAAAATAATTTTTAAGTTTTTTAAAACATTTCGGTGGGGGGGGGGTTCGTAGCCCATTAGGCCCCCTCTACCATACATACGCTACTGGTACGAACACCGTACCGGGTCGGAAGCGTAGCCGCGCACGGAGGGTGCGAAGCGGTCAAATGGATTGTTAATTTTTTTTTTTCACTCCGCCAAGAAAAAATTACGGATCATTCGTGTTTATTTCCCGTCACAAGACATCGTTCGGTTTCCGAAGTATCCGGTTATGGTAGACCGCTCCGACTAGTGTTCGGTCGGTGTTTTTTTTTCTTTTTTGAATATTGTTTTCTTATAATTTTTTTTATGTTCTATAATATCATTTTTTTTATCACACATAAAACGATATATATGTTTTCAATATGATTCATATTTGTCGTTTTTTTTAACGTTTTCATGCGATGCATAGCGGTGATTTGAGTTACTGCGGTATTGGTTGGCGACAGCAATGTGTCTCCGCGTGCGACCGGCCAGCAACGTAGTTGAACTGTGATTGTTACGCGGAAATGTCTGTTTTTCGTGTTTTTATAATTATAATTATTAATTGTACTTATAGTTAAGAGAAATGAGACATTGATATCACAAGTATTATTTTGATGGTGACACTGAAGCCTAACTTAAGACTTAACCACGTTTTTCTTTATTTTGTTGTTTGTTAAGTGTTGTTCTTCAGAACTTCATTACCTTACATTTATTTGTTACCATGTTCACTTACCAGCATAAGTTGTGATTTAATGTGGTTTTCGTCCTACGCTGCAAACTTGTATCTTCGTTCGTGACTGTGGTTCAGTGGTTGCATGCAAGCAAGGGTCTTTATTGTATTAAACTCAGTGGATTGCTCACATCCCCTGGTGCATGGCATAGAGTCCGAATTCTACAACATAGTCACATGTGAGTATTGATTGGTTTTAAGTGTCAAATTTATGTTCTGACTGATTGATGTAATGACATTAATCATTCAAAAGTTAAGGCGATTAAGTTAAGTGATCAGTGAGAAAACTAAGGTAATAAGTAATATTATAATTAATGCAATAGGTCCGATCTATAAATAATAATAATAATAATAATATAATATAAATAATTAAATGGGCGTGAAAAAAAAAAAATAAATAAATAAAAAAATCACAAAAAACCTGACCGAGAATCGAACCGAATCTTCTCTCGAAATTTCCATCGACCACAGTAAAACGGACTGTTTTGAGGAATACTTGTGTGAAACAGAAAAAAGATGACGTGCCTCCTTATCTAACCGGTCGAAGGCTTTACATTCCTTCTGGCGACCCCGCCAGTGTAATGCAATCCTCAATATAGCCAGTTTTTTAATTCGACACGTCATCTATGTTATACGGCGTCCGAATGGGCAACTAGGACGCACAGGTGTTTAACAATTTTTACTACTATTTAAAGTACAGTTTTGACATTTAACTAGATAAAAAAAATTGATAAGTATCTATAATTTTATTTAAATAAAAATCCAAACTTTATCTATTTGTCCATATTAGAAATATTTAGATATTCATTAACGTGAACATTTTTTTTTACGATATTAAATCAAACCGTCGAACGCCGGGATCCGTAACAAAAATATGTTTAAAAATTACTCCGCACACGAACTCGTATGTCAACACTTGCTCACGATGAATTTCACAAGTCTACAGCGCTGGACGACGACAATGAATCAATTAATTAAACCACGTTATTCACAATCGCCGCTGAAACAAGGGGGAACTATATAATAGTAATCAAAATGGCAATAAATACTTACCAAAAGATCAGCACAGCACAAAAGCGAACGAAAACGTGGTTTTATAAAAAAAGGCTCTACATGGACGATGAGGTTATAAACTTTGCGTGTACACACGAATACGGACCAAACGATAGAGAACGAGTCGGCACCAATGACATTTCCACGAAGGCTATAGCCACCGGATAACACAATGAAGATAAATGCCTTAGTGCCACCACCTTAAGACTAGAATACGCGGACTTATGAAACTTTGTGACATCTGAGACGATGATTTTTACTTAGAACTGAAACATAACCAAATTTATGAACGCACTGAATAACGGCGTTATTTTTTGGGCGTTTTATTTATTATTTTTTTCTTTTGCGTACGATGATAACAGCCGCATACGTTTTCTGCCGGTCACCCACGGAGTCTTCCGCTGAACGATACTGTAACAGAGCAACACAAGGAGCGTCTAAAAACCATAGAGTCATATAATATTACTCTATGCTAAAAACAGAATTTAACCGTGATGATACTGTGCATGCGGCGGGAGCTGTTATCATTAATATTTCGGTGCGCTTGCAGCGTGCGATAGCACCAAAACCCAATACGCGCTTTTTCTAACTCTTGTTTCAGATTTCAGAATAGGAGTACAAAAAGTGAAAGGAGTACGAACTACGAACAGGAACTTACAGGGCCCGGCTCAAATGTTTGATCACACTTAAGCAAATATAATTTTAAAGACTCCTGGGTCAACGATGGTTCAGTTGCGGTTAGTAGCGGAGGTTGCAAAAGCCCCCAAAATTCCTACTTATTTAGAATGAATTCTTATTAGTCATGGATATGTTAAGAAATATAAATACTTTGGTTATTGTTATTTATTATTATCTAAAATGTATTGATATATGATATTATTTTTAAAGAAAAAAATATTGTTTAAAAAAAAAAAAAAAATGTTTAAAATGTATAAACCTATTTTGAAAATAATTTCTGTCGAAAAAAATATATCTTTTTTATTTCAGCGCAAATAGGCCGTACCCAAAACGAGTTAATTTTTTTTAGTGAAAATGTATAATTCCCCCTCCCGCATACTAATTTCTACTTGTTCTATAAACCGATTTCCATAAAATTATAATATATATAAAAATTAAAATTTAAGTTGTAATCATTTATCCTCCTACTATCCATTTTTCGACTCATCTTAATCCACATTTTTACCATCCTTCTCTATTATTCTCTTAGTTTATCCAATGTACAAGGTCTCACAGGAACACGGGATTTAGTGAAATTTTCAATTAGTGCATGTCTAATATTTGGTCAGTATGATTTTGGAGTTGCATTTCTATGGTAGTGCTTGATATCGAAAAATGACTTGATATCATATGTTCCCGAGTTTCTCAAAATGCAGGCAATTAATCTTCGAGTATAGTTATGTAAATGTACAATTCCTATCGTATTATCTTCCTCATCACTATAAATATTATTTACGTATCTTAATCGTATTTAGTTTTCGCTTTTTAAATGGCTTCGTTAACGTACTTCAACCCGGTGTTTTTTAGGGTTTGAAAATACTATCACCATGTATAAAAATATCTGCCCGAATACAGAAACGATGGATTTAGCTGAAAAAGGAAATATTATTACATCGGTCGGTGATACGATCAAACTTCAATGGAAATTACATTTTTTTTTGTTTACGATTTCCAGTTATAAAACGACACACTATATACATTTTAGTAATGATCAATGAAACCGTTTTTTAGTTTTAAAATAGTTTTGTAAATAGCAAAATTATGGAGAAACACCAACTGTAAAATACAGTGCGTATTTTCCTATAAAACATATTATTTATTTTTATTAATTATGTATTATCTAATTAGAACGTCCCGTAAATCAAATTTAATGAAATTAAAAATTCGTCGAAGTGAAACTAATATAAATTGCATAAGCCCAACCCTATTATAGGTCATTAATAATAGTGATAATAATACGTTGTTTAATGATTATTCATTTTGAAATTCGGTTTTATACTAAATCGAATAAGAAGTATAATCGGCTAAGTTTTTTAATTATTTACAGATATGCATATCGGGCGTTTGAATTTATTGCATGTGCGTGATGACCAATCAAGGGCGCGTGTTTATACGATCTAAGGCAGCATAGACACAAATATTTTAACTCACACGTTATCGCACGACAACGATATTACAAAAAAATATATGTGTCCTACCCGAGTCGAGTCCTACAAGTACAGCGTACAATAATTACGTCGTTGTACATGATACAACCTACGATGGAATATCGCGATTGCGTAAAGGCAAAAGGGAGTGGAAATAATCCGAGGTTACCATACATTTTGAATTAATCGATCTAAACAAGTACATATAGGACGTGATGTGTGGAGCAGATTTTTCCTTCGAATTATCATAAAACCTTGTTATTACACTTATGGAGTTCTGAATGATTGAGACACCAGAACATTATGTGTACAAAGTCCAACGATAAGGGTCCGATGCTCAAAGGGTAACTTGCTTCGTGAAAATTAATACATTATATAGAATTTAAATTTGTTGAAACAGTTTTGGTTTATTCATTCGTATATCGTATGCTACGTACACCATCCACTTCGATTTTTACGCATGTTAGTTTACCGATCTTGTCCAAAGGAACTCTAGTGCGGTCCAATTGTCATAATAAAAATCGTCGAAACTCATCGGAAAGATGGATATAGAATTGAAAGTCTTCTGTGATATTATGTTTAGGGATTTGTAAACAGGATGTCCGATGATTCTGAGGGCCTTGAATCGACCAATGCCAGGATATACGCTGGACCGAAACACGGCCAACATTTTAATGTAATATTGGTCTTTTCCATCATAATATTTTGGTGATAAAAAAATTAAAAAAAATTAAAATACAATATTGTAAAATATAAGTGTATGGAACGCTGGTGTTAGCCAAAAAAAAAAAACTATACATTTTTTCGAGTGTCGGATGAAAAGTATGAATTCAATATAATTTTTGTAATTTGTTTAATGGAATCGATTATTAAAATAACTTTAAAAATAAATCTTTTTTTACACGTGACTTTTTAAGGATATCCTATTATTTATTATATACTTTAAAAATGGTTTTATAATTTTTCACAAGTCATAAAAGTTAATATGCTCTAATAGTCAGAGTCTAATTAATAGATAAATTGACTTTTAATAGATATTATTATATAGATATTAATAGATAGATCTAATAAACTCATAATAACTCAACAATAGTGATAGAATGTATAATAAAAAAATGATAATTTTTTTTTTTTTTATAGAAGAACAATTAGGATTAGTTTATAGTGGTAGCAGAAGGCAAAATCATTAATTTGCATTGACGGAATAAAACCATATAACCGTAGTGAAATTACGACCGTTTTATTATTATTATTGATTTGTTTTCCACCAAATAGGCGTGTTCGTGTTAAACGGATTGTTTTTCCAATAAAATCGAAATTCGGACGAGTTTAAATCGTTTTCTGTGCGTCCGACCGCGGCCGTGCGATTGCACTAATGTAAAATCAAAAATTACTTGTGTGCTACGTGTACTATTATTATCAATACATTCCAACCACACGATTACGAGGGACGAGTTTTCGCTGTTTCACAATATTAAATCGTCCCTGTAACAACAACAATAATAATAATATAAGTACAGACTATGACGCGATGACCCGGCCGGAAACAAAGTTTGCACATCACATCCACCGCCCTTGCTATGAGATCAACTTTTTTCATCGGTATTTGTCCATGTTATACTTTACTTTTATTATTGATGTACGTGTATTTGATCGTGTAAAAAATTAATCGAAAAACATATGATAAAAAAAACATTTCTCTTAAAAAAAAAAAAAAAAAGGAAGTTACGCGTTATGATTTCGATTTGTATTAATCTATTACTGCGCGAGGATTTTCAGTTTAAAACTTTCAGTGAAATCGGTGACAACTTACAGCACAACATCGAGTGTTCGATGATTTTGATCCGAACAGATGTTGTCACGTATCAGTCATATGGAAAATCATTTTTCCGGATCACTAGATAATTATTATTAAGCGTTTAATTTTGTTGAATACTATGGTATTTCGGCCTTCTTGTTCGTCGTAACATGGCCAACGTAGATTGAAATTATATCTTTAGGAAATTCGAATAATCTGTGATTAAATATAATTATGTAATCATACGAATCACAAAACGTTGTCGGTATTAATTCATGGTTATATGCAAAAACAAATGAGTTCCAATTTCGAATTGAAACGGTTAACCGACAAATTATTATGTAATCTCAACATGTTTAAGGCGGATCGAAAATAATTTTATCGATGAGTCAAAAGCACACAATACGACTGATTACACTGTGCTTGAATTAAATTTATTTCCAATCGTTTTCGACTTGACTGCATATACGTCTCACTAATTCGTCACAGAAGGGTACGTATTTAAACCGGGGACGTTCTCAGAGGGGGGGAGGCAACACCCAGCCCCCTTGGTCTTTTTTTTCTTCGAATTTTTGTTATTTATTATTTATATCATACTAGGACTACAAATAAATGTGAATACATGTATGAAGTTCGCCCCTCCCTACAAAATGGTACAGGGACGTCACTGATTTTAACAACAGTGTATATTAATGAATGCAACATCATAGTTCTCGGTTGATTCTAGCGGTGGGATAACGGTCGGGGTAGAGGAAAATTG